GCAGTGGATCTGCTAATATGGTGGACCTCAGATACCCCATTAACACAGAGGAACAAAGCTGGTGATGATAAACATCTGCAAGGGCATGTCTGTACTCTGGTGCCCTGTACAGAGGGATCTTGACAGTGCTCTAAGTATCTTCTGAAGATCCATAACATGGTTTGTACCATGGAGCGAGCTGCCCTGGTGGTAGCCACAGTTTGTCTCTTCCTTTCTACATTCCCTGGAAGGAAGCCACTCATCCCTCACCAGGCACCACTGGTGATAAGGACATAGAATCATAGAATCAGAATGATAGCGGTTGGAAAAGACCTTTAAGATCATCGAGTCCAACCATAAATCCAACACTACTAAGTCCACCTCTAAACCATGTCCCTGAGCACCTCGTCTACCTGTCTGTTAAATACCACCAGGGAAGGGGACTCCGCCACCTCCCTGGGCAGCCTGTTCCAATGCCTGACTATCCTTTTGGTGAAGAAATACTTCCTCATATCCAATCTAAATCTCCTTAGGTGCAACTTGAGGCCATTTCCACTATGTCTTAGAGAGGCATGCAGGGTTGCAGCAGCAATACCGTCCAACCTGGTCAGGGCTGTGATAATATCTCAGTACCCCTGGCCTAGATGCATCACCACTAAGCACTTGCTGAAGCTGACAGATCTTCAGGTTATCAAATGAGAAGGTCACGGTATTGTTTCGAGCTCCAGACACTTTTGAGTCTTGAGAAGGACCAAGTTGTTTGGATTTTAAACCTCACCCTGGCTGAACCTCAGACAACTCTTGGGAAACTGGTCAATTATACAATTAAAGGATTGCATCTTGCCTCTAGTCAGAAATTTTTTTTCACTTCCCAGTCGCTGGAGCTAATTAAAGTTTCAGCTGCCAGACTAGAAGTAGCCCGTTCTTGTATCTCTGCTTCCACGGAAGTTACCAAATTACGCTTAAGCTTCTCATGATGCTTTATGAGCCAATTTAACAGGCAAATATTCTTGAAGCTCTCACACTTTCTATGTTGATCTCCTTTCACAAAGGAGCTGAACTCTGTCCAGTTATTGATCTTCCCTGTACTTGACTTTCAGGGTTTCTGGAGGCACCTGCACCCAGGACTTCAGACTTAGCACAAAGGGAAGAGTTTCCCTTAAGCAGGAATTAGCAAGTGTACCTTTAGTGACAGAGTAAGGTAAGACAGCCCAACACCGCCATACGAATAACCCAAACTCTCACTTCGCTTGCTGGCTACAATTTTACATGCCTCTAAGGAGAAAAGCAGCCTTGCAGAGCAACAGCAACGTCCCCAGCAAGGCAGAAGGACAGGAGAAGATTGCCCATCATGATCAATCATACCCACTCAGCAGTGGAGTGGAGAAAACCTTAGGGAAGAGCAGATGAGGACCCATGAAACAAGATCTTCTCCACCCAACTGCAGTCCATTAAATACATCAACCCCACCCTCAAAAGGAAGAACACTAGTCTGCCAGGGATAAGGCACTTCAGGGAGAAGAGCAAAGGTTATCAGAAGCACTAATACCCTTTATCGGGCAAGCTGCTGTATCTGGAAGGAAAGGCAAGCGCTGACACATACAAGTCTTTGGAAGGGTCGGACTGAGCATTAGTCTCTTAGCTACAGTGCTAGCCACTCTCCAGGAGTTCCAGAGAAGGGACTCCCCACCTCAGCAGAGACATAACTTTCCAAAATCCATTGATTCCAGGCATGCCAAAGACACTCACTGCAGAAGCTGTAGGAGGTGAGTTCTCCCTGGGTCAGGAAAAAGCTTTTCTAGCTAATTCAATATTTGTGTGCAGCTTATCAAAACAAACACAAACATTTAAAGCCTTAAGTGCTGTGCAGACAAAGTTCTTCCCAGACAAACATATCACAAAAACTCCAGGCAATGAATTCAAAGAATCTGGTAGCAAAATATAAGAGGCCTTTGTGGGCAGACAGTCACCTTACAGGTGATGGCTCCCAAAGTCAATGCAAAAAGCAGTTCCTTGAGAAGGGCAGCAAAATCCCCAGCGGCAACGAGCCAAACCAAACCTATTCCACAGTTCATGTTATGTACAAATATTTGAGTAGGGACAGCGCCTCCATGGGTGTCTCTGAGCATCTCAGCCAAACACCTCTCAGGTGGGAGATGTCTACAAGTCAGGACCATTACCTAGGCCAAAGACAAGAAGGGGATAATTCCATGTAGTTGAGCTTGCTGATCCCACAAGCCAGGTACCAAGAACTTCCTGTGGCCACCTGGAGCCCTATGGCACATGCTATACAGACCTGCTTGCCAAAGGTACCCCTACAGGCAGAGGCAACAGCAGCTCCCAGTGTTACAAGGAAGAATACACCCAGGGAGGACCAGGGATGGGGCAACAGGCTGAACCAGTTGCCTCAGCCCCACCAACCCCTGCCAGCTCACCAAGACCTTCCCCACCCAATGGCCAGGTCACTCACCAGCCCCTGCACCACCTCAGCTCCGCAGCAAGGTTCCTCATATGTGATTCAAGAGGCAGAGCTGCTTTTCCTGCTATAGCAACTATCGTCCTCAAACCACAACACTTCACAAAATCCGAGGCCTGGACTGATCACGTCCACCAAGCACACACCTGCAGGGTGGGGCCAGCAGAGAAAAAAATGCCCTGGATGTGGCAGAAAGAGGATTTATGGAGGAGAAGGCATTGACCTGTCTCAGGTTTTGACATGAGCTACTACTGAAGGATGCTTCCGCAAAGGCAAGAGGGTGGGACCTGAGTTTTGTTTCTCAACCTGAAGATGGAAACACAGTAACTGAGAGGTCAAAAATACACCTGGCCTGAAATGTGGGAGGTGGAGTCACAGTCTTCTGAGAGGTCCAGGTTGAGGCTTTGGCCCAAAAGTGCTGCAGCAATCTGTGTTTGTTGTCTAGTTGTACCTGTAACTGCTCCTCCTGGCCATCACCACTCAGAAGAATCAACAAGTAGCACTGGGAGCTGGAAACACCACTTCCAGGCCCTGTTCAAACCTCAGGTGGAAATTTCAACCAGTGAACATCCTGAGGTTACGCCAGCTCTCCATTCTTCTGGACAAGCTATACAGAACCTTTGAGGAGAGGTGGAAGGAGCTGGGCTGGGTTAGCATGGCAAAGAGAAGGCGGGGGATCGAATGGCTGTCTGCAACAACCAGAAAGGCAGCTGCAAAGATGACGAAGATTCATGTCAGTTGTTGCAGGCAAGGTGAAATACCAACAAATGACAGTCTGGAGTGGACTCCAGAAAAAGCTTCTTCATTAAGAGGTGGTGCAATCCTGGAGTAAAAGTGGGATCTCCATCCTCAGAGGTCTTCAAGCTGCAGGTAGACAATAACATGGCTGCAAGCAGCAGCTGGACTAGAAACCTCCAGGACACAGTTATGCAAGGAAGGTCCATTTCTGAAATGTAGGGACCCTGAAAAGGCCATTTCAGTCACTGCAGTGGAAAACGAATGCCCCAGCAGCACAGCAGAAAGAAGGGTAGCAAAGGAGGACTGGAGAGACACAATGTGACTGCATGCAGACAGGATGGTGCAAACACTGTGTCCAGGTCATCACCTAGCACTACAAGAGGAAGGAAGAAAACCTGCTCAGAGCAAATCTTCGAGGATAGCTCCCAACAGGGTATAAAATATGCTGTGTTGCCTGGTCTGCATGCCTAGGTGAAGACTATAAGCCGATATAATCAAGGTCTATAAGCACTACATGGAAGACAAAACCTGATCCTGAAGGCTTGATCTATGAGCCAAAGGCAAAACACAAAGGTCAGAAGAGCTCAAAAAAAACCCAAACCAAACCAAAACAAAACAAAAAAAAAACGGTGATCAGAGGCAATAGGAGCAAGTGGCGCTTCTGTAACTCAGAGCTGTGTCTTATAGATGCATTGCCTCTTCCCAAAAGACCTGCTCAAAGTCTGAAAAAGGTCTCTAGGCTTGATTCAAGGACCACCAATTAGCCTCCAGTTTATTCTCCTTGAAGCACTGTAGCTACCCCACTCACAGAACTTGTCTGCGCTAGGAAGCAGAAGTTATTTCCCCGGTCTGCTAATCCAGCAGAGAAGCACCAGTTACAATCTGCATTTTTTTATAGAGCCAAATCAGTGCAGAGATCAAAGTCTCATCCTGGGGAATGAGGTGTTCACTAGGATTCCCTCCAGACAGCGCACGCTACTACTCTATTCATGGATAGACTTGCCATTGTCCTTGGGTTGCCTTCCCCAGCAGTTACCCTGAAGGAATAGTTTGGAACTAGTTAAAGTGTTGTACCATAGAATCATAGAATGTTGTGAGTTGG